CAAAGTCAGTCACAAGCCTTAGAAACCAGGCACACACCTTTAATCCCAGCAGCCAGAAGCTAGGAGGTGGTGGTATACACCTTTAATTTTTGGACTCAGACCAAGGCAGATATCTGTGAGTTCAAGACCACCCAGATCTACACAAGAATGAATCAGGCTAAAAGAAAATTATAGCTCACACCTTTAATCCCTACATTAGGGAAGTATGTAAGACAAAAGCAAGGTCTCAGAGATTCATTCATTCTACAGCCAGTCACATTGAAGATAGGGGCATTCATTCTCCAGCCACAATGAGGAAAGGTTCTAGTCTGAGGTTTGATGAGAGCCTGTGGAGACAGGACCAGCCCATTCAGCCTAAGGTAGAGGTAGAAACTATTGGCCAGCTGCTTTGCTTTTCTGATATTCACCTTGAAACTTGAACCCCAATATCAGTCTCTGGTCATTTATTTGTTCGTGTTACAGATGACCTTGAAAACATTCTCTTATGTGAAACAAGCCAGTCACAAAAGACAAATACTGCATGACCTCACTTGTATGAGGTCCCCATGGTGGTCAAATTCCTGAAGACAGAAGAGGTACTGACTGCCAGAGGTTAAGGAAAAGGGTGGGCTAGTGTTTAATGTGCACAGGCTTCTACCTGTGGGAGAGGAAGACATTGTAGGGATGAACAATGGAGATTGCACTTCTATGAAAATGTTCTTGATGCCACTGAACTGTGCACTTGAGATGGGTAGGGAGGGAGAATTGTGTGATGGATTTTAACGCCATTTAAAAAAAAAAGTGGAAAGGAAACTGTCTGACCTCCTTTGAGAGACAACAGAATTAGGTGTTTTTATTCCTGTTGGTTTTTTATTTTTTGAGACAGGTTTTGTGTGGATATGGAAACAGACAGAGGGCACAAACATGTTCAATTGTGCATAGGCATAGTGCCCAGGGTCCCTGGGTACTGCTTTGGAGAGGGCCACAAGGAAGGGTTGAGGAGGGTGGTACTAGTTGGTCATCTTACTATGGGAGATGTCATTCTGTAAATATGTTTCTTTTACTGGCCAATAGGAAAGCAAGATAGGTGGGACTAGGAGACAAGGATTCTGGGAGTTGTAGTAGGAGAGTCAAGATGTAGAGACTTGAGGGAAGAGGTCCGGACTCTCTCTCTGGTAAGATAAAACCACATGGAAACACTTAGGTATAGAAATGGGTTAATATTTAAGACCCATACAAAATGCTAGAACTGGCTAACAGCATTATGCATAAAACAGTGTCTCTGTGTGTTATTTGGGGTCTGATGCTGCTGTGGGACCAGGCTGGCTGGAAAACTGATCATAACATCTTACATTTTATTTATTTTTCCTTTTCTCATAAAGGGAGACGAGTGGCAGCCACAGCAAGTACTTGTGTTAAGTCTGAGTAATGGGTATACAAGTATTTGTCCTGTTATTTCATATAGTTTACACCAAACTAATTTTATAATTGAAAAGAGGAAATGAAATAGAACAAGCCACTGAAGCAGAAGAATCAGGTGGATTCTGTTTGAATTCTTGCAGTCTGTCCTCCTCAAGTACTGCATGGAACAACTCAAAATTCACACTGGCTCTTTCTGCCCTGCCATTCTGAGGCAACGCCACTTAAGAGAGCAATAGATACTATTGGTCATCTACATGGGTCCTTGACATGTCCTGTAATCTTTAGAAAACTGGAAATTAGAAAAATTTCCAGTCTACCCTTTCTTGCCCACTGCACCCAAGATCCACGTTTTTCTGTGACTGTCTCAGTCCCACCCATGTTATACATCCAGGGCTTTTTGTGCTTAAGGAGTCAAAATGCTTCATGAGCAAACCTGATTCCAGCTTCATTTTCCAGGCTTGCTACCACTTTTCTAGGCTCCAAAGAACCCTTCTCAGAAGAGCTCTCAGCTGAGGTTCCCTGGGAGCTCACAGAAGCACAGCTATCATCAGCTCTGGAAGATGTGGGTCAAACTGATTCCCAGGGGGCTTGAGGGTTGGATCACCAATTGTGCTGAAATCGTGCGTTGGCTCTCTCTTTCCTGTCTTTGCCTGTGAACCTTGCTCATTGTTACCCAGCTATGCCCCTGACAGCTGTATACTTCTTGGTATCTGGAAAGAGGACCACAGGACTCTCTTTCTCCTGAGTTCCCTGACCCCTGGTAGGGAAGGTTACTGAGAGCCAGGTTGGGTTCTAATAGATGGGCTCCTTGCGCAGAACATCTAATGTCTGGGCTGATGTAGATTCTGGCTGTGGGCCAATTCTTCAAGCACTGCCCCCCACCCAATTCCAAATTCTTTCATGCAGGCTAAATGGCATGGTGCCTATGACACTATAGACACCGGATAAAGTTCACTGATGGGTTAACGAAGGACAGAGACCTTCCAGGTTAATATGGTCAGTGAGTTTTTGTCCCTACATCCTGGTTGTCTCTGAGACAGGGCTATTGAGCTTTTTGTTACTATTCAAAGTCACACATACCCCAAGTCATTTATTTATTCCACAAGGACCTACCCCCTGATAGCCCATCTAGCTATGAACTCACCAACTAGACCTCATAATCCAAACACTTTCAGTAGTGCCCTTAGGTGGGGACTAATTCTTTAAGACAAATGTAAAATGGTCCCTTTTATATCCAATACAAACCAGGCAAATTTTCTGGTGTAGACTTCATGTTCTTAATCATGACAATATTATTTCCCATGAAATTATTCTTTAGAAGGCTATTTGCTGAGTGTGTGTGTGTTGGGCTTTATACAAGTACACACATGCAAATATATGTTTATACACACACACACAATCATCAGTCACTAATTTAGATGTTGGAGATATAAGGAACAGTCCTTACACAGTCGCATGAAACAGACTTATGGTTGATAAGAGGGAACAAATGTATAAAGAGATAATGTTAATACACTGAAGAATTAAAATGTGGAAGTGTCTATGTTCTGGTGAAGAGAGATGGTATGTGTTTGCTTCTTGAGCAGCACTAAGGTCACACTGTGGCGAATGTTCACTTCCTGAAAATGCCATATGTTGTACACATAAAATTTAGTTATGTTTCTCTTTGTGTGCTATGCTTCATTGAAGCTGTCATCTGTCCTTTTGAGAAAGGACCTGACTGTGGACTTAAGGCTATCGTCAAACTCAGGATCCTCCTATCCCAGTGCTGAGATTACAGGCATGCACCACCACACCTGGGGTACAAGCAACATTTTAAGATTTTAGAAGAAAGCAAGTGCCTTTGGAGCTCAAGAACCTGTTTTGACTTGCGCTTCAGAGGCTGAAGGCCTCTGCCCTGACATTTACGTCAGTTATTGGTGCCTTTGACATAAGTTTTGGCTCCATGAGCTTCCTTGGTGCAATCAGTTGTCATCTCCTCTCATTTACTCAATAGACAATCTTCTTTGGGGGAACATTTCTGAGGATTTCCTTTTCTCAGGGATCAGCTTAGACTTGACATCATGAATCCATACAGGATCTTTCTGCACCCACATGCAGGGTGATGGCCCCTATGAAAGAAGCCACATGCTGCAAAGGGCAGAGACTACAGGGTATCGGTCCTTGTGTGCTAGGAGGGCAAAGAGCCTGGGGAATGCCCACTCTCATCTAGTAGATGAGAGATGCTGGGTCCTAAACATTGTATAACAAAACACAGGACCAATGATTTGTCAGACAGATGCTCAACTTGATCCTTAAACACAAAGGAATTAGTTGGTCTCTCCCCGCCCCAACTTTATCCTTTGATAGTATAACTTACTTTCAACACAAATTTATGTTTTATTGTAGACATTTAGTTTCCCCCCAGAAATATATTTACTAAGCTCATAAATGCAAGTAACAAAATGAAGAAAGAAAAATAGAGAGAAAGAAAGAAAGAAAGAAAGAAAGAAAGAAAGAAAGAAAGAAAGAAGAAAGAAAGACTCTGAAGGGCTGGGGAGACAGCTTAACAGGCAAAGGTGTTTGTCAGCAAACCTGAGGACCTGTGTTTCATCCCAGGGACCCACATGATGGAAGGAGAGAACCAACTCTGCAAGCTGTTCTTTGACTTCCACCCATGAACACTGGCATATGCACACGTGTGTGCGCACACGCATGCATGCACACAATAAATACATGAACAAATAAATGTCAATCTTTTAAATGACTCTGAGCTAGGACATATTTAAGTTTCCTGTAAGTTGGCAGACTATGGTCCTTCTACAACCTGTGGTGTCTTCATTCCATGCCAGTTTAAAACAAGACCTAGATTAGTGCAGGGTGGTACCTGAACACACCAGGAAAACCTGAGCACAGCGTCACCTCCCAGGAGGTCTGCATGCTTGGCGGAGTTTATTTTTAGAGACAGGGATGCACGGTGATTTAATTGAAGCAGGACAACCCAAACATCAGTCCCACTACTTCGCTGTGATAAGATGTCTTTCCATTTCTTTCATTTCACCATCCTTCCAAACTGGCTTCACTGTGAGTAGACATTATGAGTTGTCTCCTGAGCTCTGAGATTAAAAGCCTGTGTCCCCATACCTGGTGAAGAGTATTTTTAGGCAACAAGATTGACTTTGACATTTCTGTCTTAATGAAAATCAGAAAGCACAGTGCATCCACGTATTTCATGTGTCAGCTAGAGAAAAATATTTCAGGTTTGTTTGTCACTAAATCTGTGTGGGTGATATATTCCGCCGCATCTGCTGTAAGGGGTGGGGAGTCTTTCCCTTCATCTTCTTATTCCCTTAATACTTCCATGACTCTGTTTCCTTTGGGAGACTTATTAAACTCAGAGTCAGGGAAGCATATGATGTTACTTTATGTTAGAATGTCAATAGTTGATATTTTCCATAGGTTTTGTCTCCTCTAAAGGTGCTGATGTTGTAGGAAGTATGAGAGGCTGAATCCAGAGGAGGGTACTGGGAGGTTTATCTAGATCATAGTCTTCTGAACCCCACTCCAGAGATGTTCATTGTGGTAACAAGTGCATGGCTCATTTGCATATGCAGCACGGGCTAGCACACAGACACTTTGCCTCCTGTACGTGGGGGATGGCACCCAGGAACGTCCACGAAGACTTGCCCCATAGGGTGGGGAGCATCTCCTTTTCCCCAAACCTGCTGTGAAGCCTCACACTGTGGCATGTTGTGCTGAGGGTATGGACCACCTTTCTGGGCTCTTGGCTTCTGTGTGTGTGCGGCAGTGTATCTACTCATGGTTGCCACTGACACAGCCATACAGAGGGCGAAAGATCCCCAGGCGAGGCTGCAACAGAAAGCACAGTTAGGAAAGGCCTGAAGAGGGATTCCAGGGCTGCCCTGGGTCTGACCACCACTTGGTGGTAGAGAGACATTGCTGCTATCCACGGGGATGCTATTTGGTGCCTTTAGATGCTTCTTATGATTAGCTTGGGAGATTTCTCTTCACTGGTCAGATTTGTTGTTGCAGGAAATTATAAATTCTACACTTCCTGGGAAGGGGCAAGGTAGGAGACTGCAGGGTTTACAGGGGAGAGTGACTTCAAGAGCTCATTGCACACTCCACGGGCTCCCTGAGAGAGAGAGTATTGGAGCATAAGCAGGGAGGGGACATGAAAGGATGGCACGATGTTGTGAGAGGAGTGATTGGTCCATAGAAGACAGGAACGATACACAGTATTTAGAGGGAAGGGCTTCCAGAAGACAAGGAGGAAGTCTATTGCATAACCCCACTAAGTTCTTGAGAGGCTACCCTTATACATACACACACACACACACATACATACATACATACACACACACACACACACACACACACACACACACACACACACACACACACAGAGCATCTGGCAAAAGTCTGACTATGGATGATGACTGACTAGCCCTCAGGTTTTTCCACACCACAAACACCACCCCACACTCTTGTGCCTAGGAGAGCACAGGGTTAGTCTCTAAAGGCACAGGCACAGAGAGCCTAGACTCAGAGGTAGGAGGGTGTGTGGGGACAGAGGAGAAAACTGGTCTGAGAACAGGACTTACATGAAAAGGCAGCTGTGGAGCAAATGCTGTTTCGCTCTTTTCTCATGCCTAACCTTAGGATTAAGGTTAGAAGACAAGCAGAGGGCATTCACCCCCACCCCCCGAAAATGAAACAAAAAGAGAAAGAGACTAGATAAGGAAAGAAAAGAAACCTTTGGATAATTAGCCCCAGTGACCCAGCTAGGAAGAGTTAGTTCTAAGAGAACTAACTAAAGGAGAAGAAACAGCAAAAAAAGTAACACAGGAAAAGTTCCCTGAAGTGTGGAATACAAGATAAGCAGCTTGCCCAGAACATGAAAGAAGGAGGAATATGATAGAAAGAACACCCCACCAGGGGACCTCCTGACCCTTGCCAAGAAGGCAGTAGACTGTGAGTGAGAATGATATTAAACCTTGACAGAACGGAATCAGATCAGGGCCTTAAGAATTCCAAGGGCAAATGGTTTTCAACAGCCTTTTGAACTTTATTTTATTTTAACTTTTTGGCCAGATGATCAAACACAGAGTGCAAATAAGCATTGCTCTGGATATGCAAGGACTAAAATAGCCCATCTCTCTCTATTGGTCCTTCAAGTGTGTGCGATGCTGGTGATATGGCCTTCCAACCCAGAGCACTAGTTATGTTGGAAGCCAGGTGGAAGGAATAGTGTCCGGAGTCCCAGTCATAAAAATTAACATCTTCAGACTGGGGAGACCAAAGCTGTGAAGGGTTTTTAAAACAGGTGTACCATGAAGATTAATGGCAGGATGAGGAAGGAAATGCCAAAAATGTGTTTTACAGACAGGAAAATAACTGTCAGCACCAAATGAAAATACAAAGGCAATTCTCCAAGCAAAGATATTATTTGGCACAAATGACAAATAAAAGTGCAATCTGGGACACCTGGACTGACAGAGGTAGCCCCTGGCATTTCTGGAGAACAAAGGAAAAGGTTGGTTATTGAAAAAGAAAAATGGATAAGCTGTCTTGTGTCCATTAGGAGCTAGGAAACGATGATTGCCTGGTGTCAGTAGTTTCTAGCCAAGATTTGTAATCTTTCTGGTACATCTTGATCCTTCTGATTTGGGGTCAAGCTTGTACTGCATGCAGTGTGTTGGGGTTCTTGTTTAAGTGGTTGACTCTCCCTATGCCTCTAGCTGTCTTGGTGTAACTGGCAGTAAACTGCCTGGGATTTTTTATTTCAAAGCTTCCAGATATCAGGAGAATTATGAGTGAGTGCTCTCAGCATATGGCTTTCTTTGGTTCTATTTTGTCAGGTCTTGACACAAGTGACTCCGTTTTGAAGCTGGCAACTCTCTCTCAGCATTAGAGGTTATAATGTGGCATGAAAATATGAGTATAAAACATTGGTTTTTAAGATACAATATGTCTGAGGCTCATGAAGCAGGTCAGCAATAAAACACTTGCCTAGCATGTGTGAGTCCCTTGGTTTGAGCTCTACCACTGCAAAAACAAGAATTTATAAAGAAATCCCCTGTGGTCTTGCATGGCATGACTGAGTCTTTCCAGTTGAAATAGATGCTAGGTCTAAAAGGGAAAATTTCTCCAATCTGTTTAAAAATCTAGACTATCATTTGTCAAGTATTTCCTAAATGCATCATCATTATTCTCCACAGCCTGATGGTAAGGCTTATTGCTCAAGACACAACTTATATATGTCATTGAAGACGGAAGAATCAAGCTGTTGCCCAGCTAGAAGCTTCAGTCCTACTGATTAACATTTCATGGAGCTTGAAGGCACTTTTTATGTTAACAAAGGAGAAAGATAATCACCAATATCACCCAGTTATGAACCCTCAACCCCTGACAGTTTCTTGTAAGACATAATAGTAGTGGCACAGATGTTTTAGGAGCAACCAACCACTTTTTAAAATTGGATTTAAGGTCTACTCTTTAAGATGGAATCCATATCTAAAAGTAGAAAGAACCTGAGACTAGTTAGATCATGGGCCCTAAGGGAAAATCTACTACTATTATTCTGTAAAAGAAACACAGCAATGTGATGGGAGATGTCGTCATTTTGTAAATATGTTTCTCTTATTGGTTAATGAATAAAGCCCTGTTGGCCAATAGGAAAGCAAGGTAGGCAGGACTAGGAGACAAGGAGGTTTCAGGAAGAGGTAGGAGGAGAGTCAATAAGTAAGACCGAGAGAGCAGAGGTCTGGGCCCTCTTCTGGTGAGATAAGACCATGTGGAAATACTTAGATTAATGGAAATGGGTTAATATTTAAGACAGAACTAGCCAATAAGTAATGCTAGTAACAGGCCAACAGCTTTATATCTATTCAGTGTCTCTGTGTGTTATTTGCTGGGGGGGGGAAGCATGCTTGTAACAGCAATGAAATGACTTCCAATGACATCAATAAGCCTTCATTAAGAAAGCTTCTTCTTGCAGTAGATGTTAATTAACACAGAGACCCATATGCGACAATGATGGGAGATGTCATTCTGTAAATATATTTCTCTTATTGGTTAATGAATAAAGCCCTGTTGGCAATAGGAAAGCAGGATAGATGGGACTAGGAGACAAGGAGGATTTTGGGAGATGTAGTATAGAGGTCTGTACCCTGTCTCCAGTAAGATAAGACCATGTGGAAACACTTAGTTTAATAGAAATGGGTTAAAATTTAAGACAGAGCTAGCCAATAAGAAATGGGAGGAGGCTGCATTTGGCTCCTGCTCTCACAGCCATTGCAGTACATTGAACTCCATAGAGACAGCACCTGCGGCAAGTGCGAGCTGGATGGGCACTGGGTGACTCTGTGCCTCATGGACAAAAATCAACTAAGCATGGGCAAAGGAGATCCTAGAAAGCCGAGAGGCAAAATGTCCTCATATGCATTCTTTGTGCAAAGTTGCCGGGAGGAATACAAGAAGAAGCACCCGGATGCTTCTGTCAACTTCTCAGAGTTCTCCAAGAAATGCTCAGAAAGGTGGAAGACCATGTCTGCTAAAGAAAAGGGGAAATTTGAAGACATGGCAAAGGTGGACAAGGCTCCTTATGAAAGAGAAATGAAAACCTACATCTCCCCACAAAGGGGAGACCAAAAAGAAGTTCAAGGACCCCAATGCACCCAAGAGGCCTCCTTTGGCCTTCTTGTTCTGTTCTGAGTATCGCCCAAAAATCAAAGGAGAACATGCAGGCTTGTCCATTGGTGATGTTGCAAAGAAACTGGGAGAGATGTAGAACACACTGCTGCAGATGCCAAGCAGCCCTGTGAAAAGAAGGCAGCCAAGCTGAAGGAGAAGTATGAAAAGGATACTGCTGCTTACAGAGCTAAAGGGAAACCCAATGCAGAGAAAAAGGGGGTGGTCAAGGCAGAAAAGATCAAGAAAAAGAAGGAAGAGGAAGATGATGAGGAGGATGAAGAGGATGAGGAAGAGGAGAAAGAAGAGGAAGATGAAGAAGAAGATGATGATGAATAAGTTGGTTGTAGCACAGTTTTTTTTTGTTTATAAAGCATTTAACCCCGCTGTACACAACTCACTCTTTTTAAAGAAAAAAATGTAAAAAAAAAAAAAAAAAAGAAAAAAAAAAAGAAAAGAAAAGAAAGAAACACTAGTAATAGGCCAATAGCTTTATAACTAATACAGTGATACAGTGTCTCTGGGACCAGGCTTAAAGCTCTCAGCCTTAAACCAACACTCTCACACAGACAATCATGCAGGCAAAACACCAATGCACCCAACATTTAAAAAAACTGACAAAAATAAATTATGAAAAATAAAAATCAAACAAACAACAAACAAACAATAATCTAGGTGATTTTACACTACAGCTGAGAAGACTGGATTATAAAAAGGTTATAATACCAATTAAGAGTCACAAAAGTGGCAGGTACAAGAGTGACAAGCCCTGTGTCAGTGTCTATTTTCCTACAAAAATCTGTGTTCATCTCTTCTGGTCCACCAGAGCTTGAGCAGAGTAACCAAGCAACTTACCAATAGGACCAGCCATAGTCCTATGTCTGAGGTCTCCAGTCTTCTGGACCCAGGTTCACAGTGATTTGAAAACTAGTTGTGTACATCATGTGGGCCACCATGCCCAGGAGCCCTGTGTAAATTAATGTGTGTGAGCTACAGTTTAGAATACAACACAGTAGAAAACCTGCTCTACCCTGCATGTGTTGGATGCTGGGAGGATTGTAACATCCACAGATCCTAAATCAGTATCTGCACTTATACAACCTTAAACACTTCATTTGATATCTCATTCCTACAGTAGAAACTAAAGGGACATCCAGAAGCAGGCCTGATCATAACCAAGAGGAATATAGTAGGGGTCTGGAGAGATGGCTCAGTGGTTAAGAGCACTACTTGCTCTTCCAAAGGTCCTGAGTTCCATTTCCAGCAACCACAAGGTGGCTCACAACCTTCTGTAATGAGATCTGGTGCCCTCTTCTGGCCTCCAGGAATACATGATGCAGGTAGAACATTGTATACAAAAATAATTAATTAATTTAAAAAAGGAACACAGTAAATACTGGGATCTGAGCAGGAATCTCCACACATCCATGACCTCGCTCTTTGTTACGGTAGATCTAGCAATTGGATTTTATCTTTCTATTTACTGATGCTAAGACCTGGGCAAGGTGTGATGTGTTCATCAAACACAGGAATGATGTACAAATTGGATTGTTACACATTAATAGAACTTTGTGTATTTGTCTGGAACCATGTGCACAGGGTTCTATCTTGGTGGAGACATTAACTTTAAGGATCTTAGAAGGCCAAACTAAGATGCTTAGAGAGCAGGCAGGTAGCACTAAAAAAGTAAAAGAGTTCTTTGTGGAGCATTTGTGCCAAATGTTGGTAATAATTTTTAAGATATTGAAATGTGTAGGTCCATTCCCATTTTCTTTCACCAGAGCTTAGCTATGACATTTAACTTACCGAAATTAAGTAACTCTCCCACAGTTACTTAATACATACTTGCTTTTGTACAGCTATTAAGTACCAGAGGTCTGACCTCAGGAGGACTCATTTAGCCTAACCTCTCTGCTACGTGAGGTCATCACTGTTCCCAGCAACAGTGCAGCCTTTTCCCTGCCTGTGACACAAACTGGTAAGTGTTTCTCTCCACCTGTGCCCATCCTTTTTTCTTTTCAACATTACTTCTGCCTAATGGAATCAGTTCAGTGGCTTATCCAGAAGACGAGATATCTTACTGGAGGGAGCCAGCCAGCCTATTCTCTGGCTTGATGCATCACATCCTCTCGGGAGTGGGCTGGGGGAAACTGCTCCCTCTGGAAAGTACCTGCAAGCACCATGAGGATGGCCACTGAGGCATCGACATTGAGCCAGTTGCATCTGGAATGATAATAACTCACACTGAAGCCCAGGAAGATGGCACCTGTCAGTATCAGGAAGATATCCAAGACTTCAGCCCCAATGGAAAGCCACAAAACACCTATAAACAGAAAGGACAGAAGCGCTGGACATTGAGAATCTGTAACTGGAAGGTTTGATCCTTTGGTGTCATTACTAACACACTTTCTGTTCTTAAAATCACAGACTGGAGGCTAGGCATTTTGTAAACAAAAAGGTCTCACCGTTCAGTTCACAGTTTTGGGTGCTGTAAAGTCCAAACAGCATGGGGCCTGGTTCTTTCAAAACTGTCTTAGCTATCTTATACCATGAGCTGGGGTCATACATGAAAGGGAGAAATCCAGGCTGACATGAGGCCAGAGGGACAAGAGAGAGGCCAGGCTTATTCTTTTCTGACACTCTTTCGTGGGAACAAACTCGGGATTGCAAATGCTTGATTCCTTCTGAGCAGCACCCCAAAGACCTTAAACCTCCCTTGGTCTCCACCCCTTAAATGTTCCTCATCATCTCCCAGTAGCTCTGCCCTTGAGGACCAAGCTTCCAGCATAAGTACTTTCTGTGGACAAATATAAGTGGTAGTGATGCGAGACACCTTGCTACAGCAAGCCTTCAATGTGAAAAACAAAGGCATCTTTGTTGAGTTTTAGGAAGTTGGTCAGTCAAGGGGATCCTAGGGCCTCAAGGAGGGTATAAAGACTGCCCACAGGTGGGAAGGAAACATAAGCATTCTCCTGGTATAGGGCTACAAGAGACACTGAGAATGTCTACTCCTCAGCTTAAGAGACTTCATGATTTTTGTTTTTGCTTTTGTTTTTTTTTTTTTATGTTGTTCTTGCAATAGAGACATTGTCTCTGCCCATTACAGAAACACAGGGGCTGGCGAGATGACTCTGTGCCTAAGAGCACTTGCTGCTCTTGCAGAAGACTGGTGTTCAGTTGCCAGCCCCGAGTCTGGTGATTCACTGCCACCTGTAACTCAGCTCCAGGGGATCCCCACTCCTCTTCTAGTCTCTGCAGGAACCTTCCAAGAGGTGTGCAGATTCACACACACTTCCGGCACACAAATCAAAAATTCAATCTTTTAAAGGAGATACACAAACTTAAACACAAGGACAGAAGGGTCTGAACCTTGGGTTGGCTCCAGTTCTACCAACATCCCCTGTGTCCATGCAAGCTGTGTGTACACTCTTGCTGGGATCCCAGCTGGAGCTGTATTGGACGTGGGATGGAGAAGAATGGGTAGAGGGGACAGAAGGGAAATGGAAATTTTTGTAAAAGTCCCACTACCAGCCAGACAAGTCAGGCGATGGGACAGAGGAACACCCAAGACTAACATGATCCTCTATGCAGCTTCATCAATCCTCTGATCTCTGGGAGAGCAGAGACCAAGAAATCAAGCACCAACTCAATGGGTGATGGAGAGAAGAAAGCACACACAAGGCAAGGTGTTCCGGAGCACCTGTCTTCCCAACTCTGTCTTTGCTTTCCCCACAGAGCTTGAGTTTGGTCACCATGGGAATATTTATGGTTTGGGAAACTGCAGACTCCATCAGTCAGTCTCCTGTCACCGTGGGAAGCTGAGTACCATCTTCCAGCACACAAATGGAGCCTGGGCTGATGTCACAGAAAAACCATACCCAACAATCTCATCCTTTCCCCATATCCAATAAAACAGTAAGAGTCATTCAAACGATGAGGGACCCTGGCTGAAAGCACAGTCTTACGTACCTTGTCCCTCAGTGGGCACTATCCCCAGGAAGCACCTGCATCGCTCACCTAAAAGACAAGGAGAACACAGCCAAACACCATCCCACAAACAGACAAATAGATAACAAAATTATGCCGTGTATATACAGTTCTGCTCAGCTGTAAAGAAAAAATGAATTTGCAGAGAATTGGGTGGAATTGGAAAATGTTATTTATGAGTGGTAACCCAGACCCAGAAAGATGGATATCATATATTTTCTCAGGCATACTCTAGCTTGTTGCCCCCAGAGTTTGCATGTCCAGGGGAAGATAAGCATTAGTGAAAGCAGAAACTAGGAAGGATCTCTCACGGCTGGGGGCGGGGGTGATCAAAGAGGCTCTAAGGGTGGGAGAGTGGGAATAGAGCAATGTGGCCACGAGAAGGTAGAGGGAGGGAGGGTAGGGAGAGGAAGTGGGGACACAAGGAGGGCAATAGCGCCAGCAGCAAAAGACGGTGGGCAACACGCAGCAGTTCAGTCCCCGAGGTGTAGCTTCCATGACTATCTCTACCCCCACAGGAAGTTTTCAGACTTCTCTGAGCTTTGTTTTCTTTATCTCAAACCGGGTCTAAGTGAAGTCTGTAGTAAAATAGTTGTGAGAACATGCTACAGTGCGCCGCATGCCTTTTTGTGTTTAATTATCGATAGAGGCCAGCGCAAGATCAGAAAGCCATGTTCAAAGCAAGTTACAAAGTTGGTAGAGTAAGAGATTGAAAGTGGGTTTTCAGGGCTGTGGGTGTGGCTTAGTAGGGCATTTGCCTAGAATTCCCAAGGCCATAGGTTCAATCCCCAGTGCTGGAAAGAGAAGAAGGAAGGAAGGAGGAGAGGGAGGGAGGGAGAAGGGTGGGGAGAGAGGAAAGGAAAGAAAGGAAAGGAAAGACAGGAAAGGAAAGGAAAAGGAAAGAGAGGCTTTCCTATCTGAGGACTGGTACATTTTCCCACATCACTACCTGCTATCTCTCTGCCTAATTCTTGGAGGCATATATTAGTCTGTTTTCTGCTGTAACAAAATACTAAAGTACAAATACTTTACAAAGAAAGTGAGTATTTTTTAGCTTACAATTCTGGACTTTTAAGAACAAGAGCCTAGCTTCTGCTTGGCTCTGAGGAGGGCCTGGCATCATGCTCAGAGTGAGTATAAGAGATAGAGAGCAGCCACAGTGTGACAGGTGGCAAGAGAGATTCACCCTCTCAGAATTAACCAGGATCTCTGGGCAAAGACAGGCTTCCATGACCCAATCATCTTTCAACAGGCCCTATGTCTGAAAAACCTTCCTGCCTTAAATCACCAGATGGGGATCAGGATCAGCACATAAAACCTGGGGATACCCTCAAACCACATCCCAAGCACATGAAAGGAGTGAGTGTCCTTAGTCTGAGGAGAGCCATCTTTTCTAAAAGTAACGGAAGAGAAGCCAGGAGCAGTGCAGGGGCCAGCCACAGAGCACCAGAAGGCCAGCTGAACAGATTTAGAGACTTCCCAGTAGCTTAGGAGGGCCAGTTCAGCTGGGCGCAGAGAGCTAGACCTGAGTGACCCCTTGATTAATGTGAATCCTCAGAAATGGTGTTCCTTCTGAACAAAGCCAGCAGGATTAAGAAGAAAAATCTTTACAAATCCCACGAAGCCAGAGAGGCGGGTATTACATAGCTTGGCAAGGCTTGGGCAGCCAAGAGGCACGGCAGGCCAGCCATAGAAGAATGCATACAAGCTCTGGGTGCTCGACTCTGCCATTCTGCCCCTGAATCAAGGCTCCAGGCCTACCCACACGCTCCTTCTGAATGCTCTGAGTTCAGCAGAACATCTCAGGGTCTACTCAAGCATGTGTCATTGATTCGGAGATTTGCCTCTATCAGGAGCTTTCTTTGCAAACCTCCATTTCAGAATGTGGAGAGGGAGAGGTGTGGACTCTCCTTTCAAAGCAACGAAAGGCTCACTTGCAAGGAGATGAGCTGATTCAGATAGAAAACCTTTTTCTCAGTCAGGTCCCATGATCTGTACTGAGGTTTCATCTTGTTCCTTGCTGGAGGTCTAGTTGGAAATGCCTGGCTTGGCTGCTGCAGACCTGGCTTATTCATTTCTGTCTGCCTGGAACAGCCTGACTCCTGATTTCCATCTATTAAAATTCAGTTCATTTGATAAACTGCTTGCCTCAAAAGCATGAGGATCTGAGTTCAATCCCCAGAACCCAAGTGAAAATGCTGGGCATGGTGGTGTCAGTATGTAACCCCAATGCTGGGAAGTAAATATGGGGGGAATCAGGGGTGGACTGCTGGCCAGCCTTTCTTGCTTAATTAGTGAGATCAGGGCCAATGGGAGAACCTGTCTCAAAGCAGGTATTGTTCCCAAGGATGACAACTGAGGTTGTGGTCTCCACAAGCATGTACACACACACACAACCCCCCTCAACATGCATATACAAGCACACATGAGCAAAAACTAAACCATGTGGTGGCTGGTACAATGGCTAATCTCCTTTACGAAGCCTTGTCTATACCTAAGTAGTATATTCTTCATTGTCATCACGAATGAGCCTCCATCTTAACCATTATCATGCCCTTCCTCATTTTACTCTTATCTTAGATATTTTCCAGTAGCCTTTTAACCTTTCAGCACTGTGGATTCCTCTCTGTTAGTCCCCCTAGCTCTGTGCCAAGCACAGAAATGCTTATTGATGAATATACTCCATGCCATTCCAACTGCCTTCTATTTAGAAGGCTTTTCTGTATCCTGGAGTGTTCTCTTACAGTGGTGTGTCCCATAGTTGCCAGGGGAGCAAATTAGAAATATAGATACTCTAGGGGGAATAAAGTTGAGTGGAACAGAAATACTAATGTTATGAGAATGGGAAGAGAAACAGCAATTAGAAACTCAAGGGAAACCAAAAATATCTGTACAAACAATAAATGGAATCAGAACACCCTTCCTGATGCTAGAATGAGCAACATCTAGTCAAAATTATTGGCTTATTGATTTAAATAAAACAGTGATGTTACTTTGCCAGGAAGATGGCAGGCATTATGTGGGGTATCCTCCTGGAGAAAGATAAATTTTATTTATAACACAAAGTCAATAGCTGATGTCTAAAATGAAGATACCCATGCTTGTCTTTCATATAGAAACAGTTTCCCCTGAAGGGACAAAGAATATTGGTTTTACTTATAAGCCTGTCAAAATGTGTGACTCTTATCTGTTTGTAAATATTATCTTAGCTAAAATCAAAACAAGACAAAAACATCAGTAACAAAAATCATACCCAACCAACTAACCAAACAAACAAGAGCAGGTTTCTAGACTCCAGCCCAGATCTGTTGAGTTAGAGCCTCTGGGGTTTACAAGCTCCCAGGGCAAGTCTGATTCATGTCATTATGTGAAGCTGTGGAGATAGATGAGACTATCCTCAGGTGGGGGAACAGACTTGTAAACAAAAGTTCTTAAGCCATTTGCTTATTGATGTGGTGTCTGTGGTTCCCAAAACAAAAAACAGGACTATCTTGGCCATCCCAGAGGATGTGGGCTCAATCACACGCCAAATGTAGCTGTGTATGTGTGTGTGTGTGGAGTGAGGGGTGGGGAGTGGGGAGGAGTTGATTTGAGAAAGTTGACTTTATACCATAGTACTCTGGAGCAAAGAGGATTTGGGAAGTCCCTTTGGTAGCATCTGCATCACATGTAGACCTCCAGGCTAAGGTGGGAAGTTTCTTTGTCCCTCAGTAGCCCACACTTGGATGGGGTTGGAGGTGTTCATGCTGTATCTCAGAATACTATTCCTCATTACAGTTTACTTAGGCTGCAAGAATAATTTTTAAACTGCCACAAGTTGGTAAAACAAATATCTACACAAGAAATATAGTAAGCCTGAGAGCAGAAAATAAGTGGGGACTGCTATGGGTGCCCCCTTTTTCATTCCGGGGTCTTTGCTTTGAAAGCCGAGGAGCACATCCAGGCCTGAGCATGGGCTGCAGCCACCAGTCTAACAAGCCTTGACATTCATCTCTCTTCTGTTCTTTGTGAGGGAAAAACACTTTCTAGAAACTATGTTTGATGTACTAAACCCTCCCCTCCACCTTCCCTTTCTTCTCTCAGCATTTACTTGATACATTTCTACCTTCAATTAATACAGTGCAGAAGGGGTTAACGAGATGGGGCTGACTGACATGAGAGGAGGCTGGCTGGCTGTGCAGATTCTCTGAGGTTCAGTCTCCTGCTTCTGAGGAGAAGAATGATCTACTTTGCAGGGCTGTTTTCAAGGGCTGCTTAAGATAAAGGTCCAATTTATTATGGACCATGATTGTGATAGATCTGGTAGGTGATGTAATGGCACTAAGGGATGCATACACACACACACACACACACACACACACACACACACACACACACACACACATATATATGTTGTGAGCCTAGCCTGTAAGGGCTAAGCCATCTCTCCAGCCCCCCTTTTTTTTTCTAAAGAGGACCCTTGTCCCAAAAGTGGTAGCTCAGCATCAGAGGGGCTTGGAGCCATGGCTCAGTGTTGAAGAGGACTTGCAGCTCTAGCAGAGAACTTGGGTTTGGATTTCAAATAAGCCAGGTGTCTCACAACTACCTGTAACTCTAGAGAGGGTACATAAACACACACATACACACATACACATAGACACAGAGACGGACAGGCACAAAGACAGACAGACAGACAGACAGACAGACAGATGGGGGATTTATTTCTGTGAATTTGAGGCCAGTAACAGCAACAGTGAGAAAGAAACCTTAGGGATGCAGGTGCGGGCCACCTCTGGTTCTTGAGAAACTGATGGGCAGTGGCAAGTGGGTGAACGCTTGTGCTTAATAAAATAGTGTGCCAGGCACTATTGCAGACACTTCCCAAGAATCTACTCACTTCATCTGTGAGCACCTCCATGGTTCCCATTTTATAGATGAGAAGGTTGAGGCTCAGAGATAATGAACTTGCTTAAGGTCACATGGCAGACCCAAGATCTGGCTCTGGAGCCCCATCTCAGGGCCATCCTGCACCCATTGACCCAGGGACACATAGACCATCCTCACCTGTGCTGTTGAGGCTTTCCTCACAGGACTGCCAGAGCCCTGCATGGAACCTGCGCAGGATGAACTTGTCGTCACCTGTCTCCCAGATGTACTGGACATCCTGGCTATCACCATGTCTTCTCCCAGTGTTGCTGTTGGTCCCCCTGAAGTGAATGCAGTTCAGTCCCCTCAGGAGGTCCCGGCACAGTGGTTTTGTCATGCGTCGGATCCCCTCACACCAGTGGCTGCTGCCTGTGGCTGTGAGGGAGAAGGCAAGGGCCAGGCAGATGGGGATGAGGGTCAGTACCCGCTGCCACCTCGCCCTGTCCATGTTGGAATGAAGCTCCTAGTGCCAGCATGAGCGAGGACCCCCCCTCCTCGCTACTGCATCACAGTCTCCATCCAACCCCTGCCATCTGGCATCCTGACACAGTTTGCTCATGGTCCCCTGAGTATATTCCAGCATATAGCGTTTGTGTAAGTACTGTGGCCTGAGATATCATCCCATGAAGAAGTTCATAGTGGGCCTTTCTGTCCTTCCTAGGATGAGCATATGAGGGGATATTGGTCCATTTTCTAAATTGGTAGTAAAATGTGCACAGTAAAAGCCTACTATCTTAACTATTAAGTGTGCAGAGTTCAGTGGCAGCAAGCATGGTCTCATTGCTGTGTAACCTTCACCTACATCTCCAGGACTCCCCTCAGTTCCCAAAACCCAAAATCCAAAGCTCTGTCCTCATTAAACAACTTTTCATTCCCTCTCTTCCCAGCCCCTGGCAGCCTCCAATTGTCCTTACTGTCTTAGAATTCTATAAAAAGCCACATAGAAGTGTAACCATGCAGTATTTATTTGTCCCTATGTGTCTGGTTTATTTCACACAGTGAGTGCAGCATCCTCAAACTGCATCATGTTTTAGTATATGTCAAAAACTCGTGGCTCTTCGCAAGGCATAATAATATTCCCTTGTGTTTATTGTATCACAACTAGTTTCTCTGTTCATCTCTTGATGAACAGCTGGGTTGTTTCCTTTGGCAATTGTAGAGGATACTGGTTTTGATCGAAGACAGAGACTATTTTGGTGGCTGCCAAGATGGCACACTCCACTCTTTTGGAATTGAGGAGTGTCCTTGGTGTTAGAGTAGGAAGCCTGAAATGTTCCCTAACATACATACATACATATACATATACATATACATACATATACATATACATATTATAATATAAATATTAGCTTACAAATAGGTTTCATTAAGACATTTTTCAAACCAAATTTGCTTGTGTTGTTTCTTTTTCTACCTTCTTTCCTATCCATCCTCCTCCTGCACTCCCACCCCGGAGTCTCTCCTTTCTGCTCTCATGACACATGTGATCTTTTGTGCTCTTCCTCCTCTTTCCTAATTTCTCTTGTTCCCCTCTGGTGGTCCCCCATCTAGTTTCATACTCCACACCCACAAGCTTTTATTTGCACGCATAAGCATTAGAAGTTAAGATCGGCATCTAAAAGTGAATATACAAGAAATATGGAAACTTGGGGGAACTTCTGGGCCTGTTTCTTGCCCTACTCTAGGTAAGAGAGACTGAAGAGGGCTGGTGTTTAGCTCAGGGACTCAGAGAAGCGAGAAACAGGCCCTTTGCTTCAAAGGATCGTGAGAGTGGGGAGGGACATGTGATCAACTGGCTGCAGAAATTCTCACCATCCAGGGGACTCAAAGCCCTTGGACTATCACTCACATCCTCACTGAAGGGCTCACTGCAGGAGCTGTGAGCCTGTGGCAGGGTAAGGCTAGGCTCCACCCCTTGGTGGCTGAGTCTAGAGTAGGGTTATGAAGGAGTGTGGAGCCTCCCAAGAATCGTGTCTTTTGCTTAGGTCTGAGGAATAAAACAAAAACTAAACCAAATGTTTTCAGGATGGGGAAAGAAAAGGCAATTAAGAAACTCCAGGAAAAGTGAAAATTTACATAAGAAATTCAATAAGCCTGAAGCCAGGAAGGAATGGAGAGACGGATGAGTCTGTGTGGCTTCGGAAGATTGCAGGCTCTTCTGCAATCTGTGTGGAGCATCCCTGGAGATGTCCAGATGTAAACGGGCAGTGACATTTGTGTTTGTCTCCCTCCATCTGTTCTTCCCTGCTGTGCTCTGTGCTCCTGGGAGCCTCAGACAGGTTTACCACAGCTTGTCACTAGATGGCATCCACTTCAACAGGTAGCAGGAGTTGTACATGTGCAGACCAAGGCATGTCCTTTCAGGGAGAAAAAAAAAAAAAAATGCTTTTGAGAAACATTCAAAGAAACGAAATGGAATAATCATACAAAGCAGGCGTTTTCACCCCCACCATGCAACCTAAAAGCTCCCCTTTAATATGTGTAGGATAGCTTTACAGCCACATCACACACACACACACACACACATACACACACACACATATACACACACACACATACACACACACACACACACACACACACACACACACACACACACACAGAGGCTTTCCTCCCTGCCTGCCACTTCATCCCATTCTCTGTGGTCCCAAAGAAATGACCACATTGACTCCAGAAATCACACTTGCACAAAAGCCCATCTGGGAGCCCTTTCCAGACTGATCTTTTTACTATTAAGGTTTGAAATCTTGCCACAGGGGGGTTTTAAGATTTCTAGGGACTCTTGGTTGTGAGCCTAGTCTTTAATGGCTGACTATCCCTCTAGGCCGAGATTTCTAGGGACTCTTATCTAGTGGTGTTCACCTGTTTCCCCTGGGTGTTCATAATCCACTGGTATTGATCAGTTAATGGAAATGACCTATGGTTTGACTTAAATGTGAAAAAAAAGAAAAGGGTGGAGGAGGAAAGAAGGGGGGAAGGGAAGGGAAGGACAGAAGCCTTGCTTCTCTTGACTCTTGTCACTCTGACATTTGTCTACCACCTTACGCTTGGGCCTCCAATTGGAAAAGTTGGGGAGATTGCTGGGAGCCATCCAGACAGAGGTAGGACAAGGAGGCCCAAGCAGAGCCTTAGAGATGGAGAAGAGCCTGCTAGAGAATAAGAGTTTGCTCTGAGGCCAGAGAGGTAAAGAATAGCTCCTGACCAGGTACTAGAATGTCTGGCTGGCTCTATCTTTAACTTGCTATGGAGCATTGCATGCGCACACACACCCACACACCCTAACCTCTCTGAACCGTGATGTTTCTTAGCCCTCAGATGAAGAAGGAATGGTTCTTGGGAGGATATTTGCGAGTTCAAGAGAAACAGGACAATTTTGTAATGGTAAACTGAAGGGGGAAGGTAGGGTGTTGGTTAGTAAGTGGTGGGTCATCACTCGCATAAAAGCATCCAGGTGGTCAGAGCACCATTGTGCTCAGAACACAACAGCCTGCTCAGAACATGTGGGCAATAGGGAGGCTCCTACCGCTGTGCTTTCTTCCCATTGTTTGGTTATTGTACAGATGTAACTCTTGTCACTGAATGGGCTTTTGCTGTAGACCTTGGGTCTGGAAGTGTTGTCTCTGCGACAGGCAAACTGCACTTGTTACCCTGGCATAATCAGAGCTCAAAGGTGGCCCTACCTTTGTGGCCAGCTCCAGCGCAGTTTGGAAAATTTTGGTGCCTTAGAAAGAAATACTGGAGTAAAAGATACCCACCTGGCATCCTGGCCCATCCTCACCAGCTGTCCGAATCTCAGTCTGGCTGTGTGCATTGGAGCAGAATCCTCGGGGTGGAAACCATGCCTTGCTTTTTCTTCTGGGACTGCTAAGGAAGTCCCAGGCAGCATAGCCGTCTTGGGGTGGGTCTGGGAAAAATCTCCCAAGATTTTAGGAGGGGCAGGCGGGGGATGAGAAACTTGGAGATTCGGTAGATCTCAGTTGAGCTGCTCAGACACTCGGAGGCCCGCAGAAGACTTGTGCAAACACTTCCTCTCTGGTCAAGGAGGAATGCAGGAGGCCACCGCCTGTGGTACATCTTGGAGTGCTGGAGGGATGTGCTTGCACTTGTGAAAGGGCGTCCCAAGGATGAGGCCCCAACCAAACCTGGCAGTGCCTCGTAGAGACAGAGAGGGGTGTTTGCCGGTGGGCATCCCTGCGGCTCAGAGGACCGATCCTCTCCACTCCCACGGGATGCGTCTGCTGTGGGGTCCTAGAAGGCCCTTCCTCACCCTGTTTCTGCTGGTTTCCATCAAGCAAGTAAGAGCAGATCTTTTATTCCTTGTTCTTCTTGTTAATATTATCAGTTGTGCATGTTTTTTTGGTTGTAGAAGCAATTTAGGCCCCTTGTAGGCAATTTGGGAAGAAGAAAACCATATTAAGAAAATGCTGCTCAGACATAACCACAGCATTCTGTTCACTGTTCATATCTTGGCTGGGTTTTTTCTTTTTAATCTCTTGTCTGCACATTATTTTGCAGAGCTGGAATAATGAAGCATAAATTGTTTGTGTCCCAGCCTTCCCTTTACATCCTTCCAGAAGTATCTTCCATGTCATCATTTATGTGATTGCTTGTATCCCCCTGTATACTCTCAGCATCCTCCCTGTTTTGAATAGTCACAGGGAGTACACATTTCTATGCCTTTTCCCCCTCTTTTCCTTTGTTCCTATTGCAAATATTTAGAATTTTTCTTTGTTGTATTCTATAGTCTATAATGTTAAAAGACATCAAATCCAAAGACCCATCAATGCAAGTTATAATTAACAGTGATCCCACCAACTGGAGCTCACCCTCACTTGCATTTGGGGTCTACACACCCAAAACTTTCCCACTGTTCATTTGTGTCCAACAACAAATATTCCTGCTATATCTATTTTGTGATCTACTTTTTAATAGCAAAACATGAATAGCACGAAGACACGGATAGCCAAGTGGCACTGAGTTTGCAATTGCTTATCCCTACTTCTATGATCTGGTTCTCTGCTCTCAGTAGCCCTGCTATGGAGATTCTCTTGTTAACCCCATTTTATAGAGGCAGAAACTGAGCCTTGGAGGTCAAGCAACCCTGCTCCACACCCATCAGTGCAGACCCACCGTAGAATAGCCGAGTGCTTTCTGGATGTGTTTAACTGATGCCTCTAGTTAGGCTTTTCAGTAGTTTGCTTTATGCTTATCCAAGGAGTCTAGCCTTTGCCTTCATCCCTTTCCAAGGTCTCATTTCTTCAGGGCTGTGGTGGGATGGGACCCCCCCCCCCAGGGAATGGCTGCTGCTCCCCATTTGCTTCTTAATCCTCATTTGCAGCTTCAGAATGAAAACATCCTGCATCCAGGGAGGGCAGAGGTGCTGGAGTTCATAAATGTCCCTTTCCCCAGCCCTTCTGCCAGAGACTAGACAGGCAAACAACATCGCTG